ATATTTACTTAATATTATATATATATATTGTGCAAAACAAAGCAACTTTGAACATTAAAGGTGTGAAGAAAAGTGCAAAGTAGAGAACAATGGAATAAAAAAATAACATTCAATAATTAGTTTAAGAAATATTAACTGTTAAACTTGATCGGGAAAAAACACATTTAGCATGCCGGATTTGTTTCGGTTTTCACATAGTAATTTTTCGGAATTCCTATTTGTCAGTCAAAAATGCTCAAAATTCTACAATTAAGATTTGCAGAATTTTGCGTGATTTACTTGTAACGTAAAACCGAAATGTTTAGTATTATCAAAGAATTTGTCTCTTATTTTGTTGCAATGTAACCATTTTTGGGGGCAATTTTTGAATTGTGAGGTTTTTATTTTTTAAGGAAAAACAAATTGTTTCATAAAAATGTTAAATTATTCAATTAAGACGCAGTGTGATTATTACTGACATAAAATTTATAAGAATAAAAAAGAGAGTTCAAGCAAAGTTACAATTTCTCGAAAAGGAGACTTAAGCTGTTGTTCATTGCATAAGCATAAAATCATACGTATGAAGTAATAAAAACGGGGACTTACTCTCACAACAAAGGAAACAGAAAACACGTGCGAGTGACCAGTAACTACGTATGCGGACGAGTCCGTTTCCATATTAGAAAAATTTGCACGGGAATTAAAAGTTACATGAGTATTCACATATTTTATTTTATTTTATCACCGTGTTGAACAGCTGACCCAATTTTGAGTTTATGACTTCTAATGTTCAACTTTGATGCCTTGTAATTTTGAACCCAAACCTTAAGACAAGGGAACTCCTGGATCAAGTATTGGGAGAAATTTGCCTTCGCGGAGGATATTTTAATGGAACTAACCTGCATTTGCGTTACATGTAAGGAAAACCACGAAAATCATCCAAGGTTAGTCTGACGGCAAGGGGACTTTAGCCCATGATCAGTCTACCACTGAGGATATTTTACGTCAGCACTGTGGTCAGTGCAAGCCGAGTACAGGATTTATATCTACCAGGCAGCGTTGGGATTCGCAGGCAGTTTTTAAATTCGGCGGACTGACTGCCGTCTCTATCCTCCTAGCTACTTTCCCTATTCCCTCCCTGAAAATTATACATCAACTTATGACTTGAATTCTTAAAATAACCATATGATAACAAAGGAAACATTTTTATGAACCTGTACAAAGTTGAAGAATGCATTTACACAGTAAATCCCTAATTAGGAAAATTTCTAACTAAAAATTGACTGTTTGCTAATATGTGTTATGTTATTGACCCTCATAGCAACATAATATGACAAACAGCACTACTTGTTCATGTTGAGCACAATTTTCCTCTATAGTTACTGCCGAGTTAATTGCGAATGAGTGTATATAGCATTATCTTAAAAATTAAAAAAAGAAGCTAGATGAAATGGAAAGAACTAAGTTATAAGTACAACAAAAATAAAATTCTATATATTGAAAAGATAATTAAATTTCTTTTGTTTTTAGTAGTTATTTCGTGATTAATTTTTGTAGTTTTGCACGAAATCTCAGTATTTACTTAATCTTTATTTTTTATTAACTTGGTAAAAAAAAAAATTTATTATTTTCTTATGTAAATAGGAGCAGTTTGGTCCAAAATTCATAAATTTAGATTTTTAGTTTTATGATAAAAAATTCTGCTTTAAAATACAATTTTTTTAAAATTGCTTTATTAATTTTCATCTCTATTCGCTCAATTTTTATAATTATTATTTTTTTCCTTTCTGTTTCAATATTAATGTATTTTAGTGTCCTTCGATATTAGTTTTTTTCTTTTTTTTAAAAAAAAGAAAAATAAACATTCAGATAGTTTAATAAGGAATTTACAACAATTAGTTTTTATTTTAAAATTTTAAATTTTAGGCAGGATACTTCAAACCAGCAGAATATGAAGAAAAAAAATGTATGGTATGAAACTTTATTAAACCATCTTTCATGAGTTACTCACCACAATTAGTTCAATTTTTTAAAAGTACCCTATATTAAAAGATTGCAAATTAAAACATTCATATATTGATACTTCGATAACTTCAAATATTAATGTTTCTAACATCAATACTCTAAATTTTATGTATTTATCTATTAATATTTTAAATGCAAATGTTTTTTTATAAATATGTGAAAAAAACAAAATTTAATTAAAAAATTTTAGGCTCATTTCTTAAATTATATTTACTTAATATTTTTTTGATAAGTTATGTAAACGTAAATTCTGCATAACAGATATTAATTTAAAATGCCTCAAGCATTTTATCTACGAGACATATCAAGTAATTGAACTTACCATTATTTAGTATGTAAAATGTTACTATTTTTATTTGCGACGAATACAATGGATTAACAGTTATTTTAGGCATAATTATTATAAGATTTGTTAAATTTAATGCATACATAAAGTTGGTATGGGACACTTCAACAGTTTTTTTATCTATCATAAAATTAAGTTAAAACTGTTATCAGTATAAAACTGATCATAAATTTAAGTATAAAACTGTTAAGGAGACAAGTAATTCTTTTAGTTTAAAAAATTTATAAATTTTATTATGATTTTCAATTCTAGGTTTTTTTATTTTCACTTTTATATTAATGATGAGTAACTAAATGATGAGTAACTATAACAAAAAATCAATACTGACTTAAACTTGATTGATTAACTTTTTTTGTTCAATATTTGTTAAAAATGACTTCTTTATTTTTGCATCTTTCATTTTTCCTCTTTAGTTTGATAGAAACTACTTTAGTTTTTTCTTCACTATCAAGGAAATCGTCATGAAGCCATCTTCATATTTAGAAGAATTAGCTGTTTCATTTTTAAAAATGCAAAACACTAAGTATCTATTTGTACCACTTTCTTAGCAGGAATAAGCACAGTTAATTAGCTGTAAGCCTATGCAATATTTTCTAAATTTATAAATTTTTATTCTGTATTAACTTTAGAGCAATATTCATTAAATTATATGTTTCAGTTATGATATTTAACTGTTCTCTAATTGTTCAAACAATGTGCAAATAAAATTACAAATTGCAGGGAATTATTTCTGGCCTTACCATTTTTGAGAAGAATAGATTGTCATATAAACTAAACTGGAATTAATATTATATTTTCTAAATGAATACATTTTATTTTCAATAAACTTTCAAAAATGTAGCTAAATTTCAGTTTTTTTTTTTTTTAAAATGGCATTTATAAGTTTACAGGTTAAATTTTTAAATTTACATACAAATTCGCATTTTATAATTGATATAAAAATAATTTTATTAATAAATTAGCATTATGTTTAATAGTTTACAAAGTTGTTTTGAAGGTCTGTTTACTGTATAAAATGAATCAGTAATTTTCATATTAAATATGTGATTTATAACACAGACTCTTGTTTACGGTCCTAATCAAATGAGTTCTTTTAATTAAATTTTCACTTTGTTTTTATATTTATATCAAAAAAAGATTATATCAAAAATATTAAAATGAAATTTTTGTTTAAATAATAATAATCGTATAAATTCAATTGAAAAATTTCAAAAGCGAATTCGATGTAAAATATTAAGCTGGAATGAAGATAATACATATTAAAATAAATTTCTTACCTGTATATTTTTGGTACTGAATCAGAAAATTCTTCTTTGGATCTACTCTTCAATTTATTACAGAATTCTTTTCTTCTAATTTTATTGAAATTGGTTGCATGCCCGTGATTTTCATGCGATTATTTTATGAAACCATTTTTCACTATTAAATTTGCCTTGCAATTGTTATCTTCGTATCTCCAATAAATTGTGTCGCTCTTATATTTTCGATATATATTGTAGAGATAATTTTTGTAAAACAGGAGATTGCCATTTCTGGAAGATTTTCTATATTTTTACCCTGGAAAATTTTATATATTTAAAAACGGTGAACGGTATATGGTAAACGAGAGTATAATTTAACGATGGTAAGGGGAAAATGTTTTTCCCTTTCAAGTTGTTTTCCTTGAGAAAAGGATTCTGTCCCCTAAATAAAATCCCTCTATGGAAATAATACCCTCCCCCTACTAGCGGACCCTGGGTGCCACGGGTGCACACTTATGTCTGTACGTACAACCGGCTGAGCAACAGCGCATATGCTTGAAATGCTTGGCTAGAATTTAATTTTCACCAAATAATTTCGAAAAGTAACCCTGTTGAAGAAATGGCGTGGAAGAATACCTTATACTATGCTCTTCTAGTGTATGAATACATAGTTTATAGCTTATAGGATGTAAACATGTGTTGGTAGGTGGACTGTTGTCATCTTAAGCTCCTCATTTACTTCTCAGTAAATAAGGCAAGTTTAATGTTTTGAATGATTTCTTTTTTGTTTATAATATTGTATCAACGTGTTTTTAAACTTGTACCCAATTTTTTATGCTAATTAATTGATTTAAGGTAGTTTAAGATTTCCACGTGACTTAGTTAGGCTTAGTAGCATTACTTATTTTACGCTTTCGGTTTTAACTTTGTTTTAATAAGAAATGTCTGACAACAAAAAAATAGGACCTAAAAACGTGAAATGCAAAGAATGTGGACGAGAATTTACAATGAGGAGAAATTTATACGCTCACATGAGGAACTTGCACGACGATAAGCCCATTGATATGTCCAGCAAGTTAGGGTGTGCTTTGTGCAATCAGATGCTTGTGAATTACTGTTTGTTGCGAGAACATTACCACAGCGAACATTCTGAAGTAAACCTTTTACTTGAGATTAAATCTTTTGATGATCAAAATTCGTTTGACATTTGGAAGGGAAGTTTTGAAAGAGAGACAATATCTCATTTTATACAGCGATCTATTAAAAAATTGTCTGATTTATCAGTAGTTAAGTATTATGTGTGTCATCGTAGTAGAAAGAGCCGCATTGAAGTCAGCGACGGGGAAAGAAAACGTCACGTTAAGACCATGGGGACTAATAAAATTAATAACAGTTGTTCAGCTACTGTGAAAGTTACGAAGTATTCTGATAGCGGAAATATTTCTGTTGAGCTTCAATCTGTACATGTTGGTCATGAACATGAGGCTGCTAGATTGCCTCTAAGTCTGAATGAACGCAAGCTTTTAGCTATTCAGATGGAGCAGGGAATACCAAAATCTAGGTTTTTAGCCAATGTTAGATCAAACTATACTCCCTTTACGCGACTATCATTAATTGACAAAAAAGATTTGCGCAATATTTGATAGTTAGATAGTGACGTATGTTTCGATAAAAATGATGCTCTTTCTGTGCATCTTAAAGTTCAGAAAATGCTGAAGGAGCCTGGCAACCATGTTTTGCTGTACAAGCCAGTTGGAGAGGCCTCTGAAATGCCAGGAATTTACGAAAATGATTTTTTGCTTGGTATTATGAGCAATGCTCAACAAAAGCTGCTAGAATTAAATGATGGTATCCTTATGATAGACTCCACTCATGGTCTTTATCAGTATCAGCTTAAATTCACCACACTGATGGTTAATGATACTAATCGTGAAGGTTTTCCAGCTGCTGTATTTTACTCTTCTATAGAAACAGCTGACGTAGTGAAATATTTTTTTGAAGCAATAAATAAACGTGTGCCAGATCTTATACTTCTTGCTGTTTTTAAGTCAGATGATGCACCAGCCTATTATAATGCATGGGTTAATGTTTTGGGGGAATGTGACTTTCACTTATTATGTAGCTGGCATGTTAAAAGGGCTTGGAAAAAGAACTTAAATTCTAAGGTTAGGGTAACTGATTTAAGATCTGCCATTAAATCTGATTTATTTGAGCTTCAAGAAGAGACTGATGTTGTGACATTTGATCATTAATGCAAATCATTCTTTGAGAAGTATAGCTCTAATGCAGATGCGCAAAGTTTTTTAAATAATTTCAATGACGAATACATGTGCAGGACAAAGCAGTGGGCTTATTGTTATAAAGTTGATTGTAGGATAAATGTTAACATGAAATTAGAAAGGTGGCATAGATTGTTAAAGTATGAAGAAGGCGCTGGGCGTGTTATTAAGAGACTTGATAAATCACTTTCACTGGTGTTGAGTGCTGTAAGGGCTAAACTTTTCGGAAGGTTAATTTCTCTTGAGAGGCACAAACTTACAGCTAGAGTATTGGACATTAGAAATAGGCATGACAAAATAAAAGATATGAACAACAAATATTCTGTTTCAGAATTATATAAAACGTGCAGTTGGGTGGTTTCGAAACCTCAGGGTAATTTAATTGTTACATATGATGTTAATAAAGTTGATGTCAGATGTAATTGCCTGTTAAGATGTGATGCTTGTAATATTTGTGTGCATCAGTATAAATATAGTTGTGTAGATAATTGTATCAGGTTCAATATGTGCAAACACATTCATTTTGTCATTTCACGTTTTTCTGTTACATCTTCGAATTCTGCTGAGCTAGTCATTTCTCCTAGCAACTCAGAGGAACATAGAGCTATATCGGCCGAATTGATAACTAACCGTGCATTAACCACTGAAAATAAGAGGAAAATGTTCCTAGAAAATCTGAACAATATGAAAGATTTAATAGTCAATGCCCAAACTGATTCAGAGCTAGATTTGATTCATATTACATTTAGCGAGTTAAAAACTAAGTATTCATTGTTGTCAGACAATAGTTTAGTTATGCGGGAATATTTCATCCTGAATATTTCAAAAATACGAAAAAAATTTTATTGCATTTTTTGAATCTTTGTATCCTTCCTAATGTCTGTCTAACGATTTCTCGGTACCTAACTTCGTTTGGAAGTTATACCGGAAAATAGAGAGTCGTCGCTATGCAGGTAGAAAGGCCCGTTCGGCCAGATTAGGAGGGACGGCATTCTTTTTGTGTCTCATCCATTCTGCTGACGGAGAAAATATATGGACCTGGAAATGCAGAATAAAGGTTAGTCGTTACTAATTTAATAATTTACTAGATTGAACATAAGTCAAAACTTGAAACACATTTTTCTCAAAACGCTGTTTTTTGACCTGGCCTAACGTTTTTCTCATGATCTATACAACGAAATAAGCTGTTCTTTATTTTAAATTACGTAAAAATATATTTTTAGAAAGTGGCATAGGATTTTTTTGATATTTTCATATTTCGATTTTATATTAGTATTTTAATTTTGGTAATTTTGCGAATATCAAAAAACCGCTATGCTATACTTTTTAGATAATGTCTTTATGTTTCAGAAAATCTAAACAAAATCGTTTTCCTATGTTTCAGGACTTCTAAATCCACGAGGTCAGTGATTTACTACTTTTTGATGACCAGCCACACATGGAACTGCCCCCAACTAATTTTTTATTATTTTGTATAAGAAAATTTTTTTAAATAAACTTAAATTGTAGCAAAGTAACATAAAAAAAAAACAAGGAGTCTCTGCATTGTCTCTATTAGTTTAAAAAAATTCCAGAAAAACGTTAATATTTTACTATCTCAGGGTGGGGTCCCCCTTAACTTTACTCAGTGTGAGAAACAACCAGCAAATAAATTTGTACAAAAGCGGGATCGATTTTAATAAATATTTTGTGCATTTTAGATTTTTTATAATTAGGATTGATTATAAATTGCTTTACGTGAGACTCATTTGGCCAAAAGTTTTCTTTTAAATACAGAAGTTCTTTCTGTACATAGTTGATACACATATTTCAAATAACTATTTATTTATAGATTTTCTTTTGATCGAGATTCTATTGTTCTGATCGAGAGTTTATTCTTTTGTATATAAAAAACTATAATCAAGAATAATTTATGTAAACTGTATAATTCTTTTGTATACAGAAAATTATAGTCAAGGTTAATTTATAATCCAGATTGTTTATAAATTTCCTTGAATATAGAAAATATAATGAAAGGTAATTGTAAGTCTGAGTTTTAGTTGGATTTGATATATTTTTTACCTGGAGCTGAGTTCCTAAATGTTTGTACATTTAATGACATTGATAATTACTTTTCTTTATGATTATTTTATCCTATGTAGATTTTTAAATTATGGTACTTATGAAATTGAACTTATCACATGTAGTAAGAATTAATAATCCTTATTTTTTTCTGGAGATAAAAAGAAATTGATTACTTTGGTTGAACCTACTTAGCAATGTGGTAACTGTAGACCTTTAAATAGCATTGAATTAAACTTAGTTAATGAAAATAAGCACCATAGTAAATCTATTATATGTTATCCTTTATGAGTTTTGTTTCGTAATTGGTGTAGTTTTTACTAATTGATGTATTCAGTTCCTTATTTTCAACTGAGTTCATTTTAAAATTAACACATTTTTCGATCAATAATTAAATAAAAGAGTGCATTTAAGTGTTGTACCTTTTGGCGCTTCCTATTTTTTTTTTAAAATTTCATTTCTTCATTGGGATAGCACACTAAACAGAGCCAAGTCTTACAGTTGCAGTTAACTTTTGAAAATATGCTGAGTCTGCATGATTTCCTGAGCAGTGGTTGTGCAAGCTAACTGTGGAGAAGTGATGATCTAGATGCACTATGGCTCAGTGGGGCTTTAGTGAGGGAACTTGTTTATTATTTTGATATCAAGTCTTTCCTTCTATTGCCCCTTCTAAGCCGCATCTTTCGATTTCCATAAACATCTTTCTCAATGAGGAATTCTTTTGGAATCTAATATGATTTGTAAGTATAATGGTGAGTATATTACCTTATATGTATACAGTTTTTGTTTACATGAAGAAGATATATTATTCATTGTATTTTTAAATTGTGTGTGGAACTCCATGTCACAATATAACATATAATTAATTTGCACACTATATTTACTTGTACACTAAGTTTTTTTAGTAGCTAATATAAATAGTTTCTTCAATGTGTAGATTTTAGATGTCTAGATGTTATAACATTGTGCATAATAAGTGTTGCATTAACTTACTAAATCTGAGAGCCAGAGAGGTATTCCTTGGTGCCCAATGTGTTATGTTGGTTTAGTATACTAAATATAAGCAGAAAGTTTTTGAAAGCTTAGGGGAGAATGTAGCCTATCCAATTCACTAACTTTGACAATTTGCGTTAGGACATTACCAAATGAAATGACTCCCTTTTTGTGGAGCAATAATGATAACTGGTAAATGTTTTAAAACTTACTTCTCTTACGTACTGTGCAACTGTTATTGCAAGGGGGTGCATTTTTATTCCTAATGTAGCAGGCCCTTTTTTTACAGTGTATACAATGGTTTCAAATTTGGATGGAATTTCCAAATTTTAAACAAAATTTAAACGTATGTGGTTTTTAGTAATAATAACTATGAATAAAAATGCTTGTGTCCTAGTATGTTAGAACTTTTCTGTGACCATGGACTAAAGTTTGAAGAAAGGTTCAGTTTGTGAATTTTTTTCATTTTAATTATCCTTGATATATTGTGTATAAATATAAGGTAACTAATTAAAAATCTCGTCTATTGTTGAAAACTAGAAAGTAAAACAAAGAAGAAAATAAAAAGTTTTTTTGTTTTCAAGTTTTTAGTTATGTGGACTGCAACCTGCCATACTTAAAATGTGTCTCCATATTTTATAATATGTATTAGTAAGTACAAAACAAATTTGAAGGCCTTATCTAAGAAAAAGATAAGAAAATTTTTTTCATATACAATTATCGTAGAGATATAATTTAAAGTGTTTAAATATAAAGCTTTACAATAATTACTAATGCTTGTATTTATTGAACTCCATTGAATGCAAATCATTTTCTTCCATTGCATCATAACTGAATCAATAAATAACTTACCTATGCTCTCCTAATTAAATTTTTTTATAATTGAAAATACAATGATTAAATTTTTGGTATTAAGTAGATTAGTATATAAAATTTATATTAAGTGTTAGTAATATCTTTTTAAAGCTTCTGTGTTACCAATATAGATTTTAAGGCAAATTATGCTTCCCCTAATCATTTGAGAAATAATAAATAAAGCAGTTAAATTGTCATAATCCAATTAAAATTATATCATTCATCATATTATCTGTAATATTTAATCATGTAAAATTAAGTGACAAATAGTGACATATAACAATAATTTTACCTATTTTTTTATGAAATAGGCTTCAAATGAGTGTTCTGAATAGGATCAAATTGATTTAATCCGTGTTTTGTATCAATCTTTAATATTTACAAAGACTGAAATGTGAAGATATGTGAATAGCCAATGATACTATGATATAATGGTCAAGTAAATTACTGTAGCATTCAGCACACTTTTTTTTCTTGTCATGATTATTGTAAGACAATTTTAAAAAATTATGTGTTTTCTAAAAATTCAGTAAAAACTTAATATCATTATTAAATGAAAATTTATTAATTGNTTAGAACGATTTTTCGCAGAATGTTCTAATGTTGACAGTAACCTTCCTCATGCTTTGAACTATCTGTATGCTAAGTTTCATAGCATTTGGTCGGTTGGTTTCGAAGTCTATAAAGAACAGACAGACACACATTCATTTTTACATATATACTAGCTGACCCGACAAACGTTGTTTTGCCATATGAATTATGGGTGCGTATGTGGTATATGAGTGGAAGAGGCATGGAGCGCTGTGAACGATGACGGAATATGAAAATAACAACACGCCAAGTAATAATTTTTTTAATTTATAGTAACTTTTTTTTATAAATTATATACAATGAATTCTGAAAATATTAGTTAACAATATTAATCTCTTAGTGCAATGAAGTGTACAATATTTTCTGCCGTTACATCTTTAGCTAACACAAATAAACTGGAGGGTTTGCCCACTCGAGAGCATGCCACGTATAATTGTCCGTGTGAAAAACATAGTGTGCTCAAACTAAGCCAC